CTGGAAAAAAAAATCTATAAAGGTTGTAGTACATGTGGATGAAATTTATTCTACTTTTGCAAAAATGACCCCTCAGTGCCAGACTTTTGCCATTTTGATGCCCTTGAAGCATGGTAACAGCCTGTTCCTAAATCAGAGAAACTAAGATGGGAAAACAATGGCTGTAAATTAAATAAATGGTCAGAGCTATGGGAACTCCAAGTCAACTGCTTGGTTCCAGTGAACTCCCTGGCACACCCGTCTTGGGTTTTCCCATTCCTTCATTCAGCAGTGTGCATTTAAGCTGGACTTCATTCAACTGACACTCAGTATGGGTGATCAGTATGTTATTGTTATTGCATGTATGTTTTCCAGATGGTTTGAAACCTTCCTCTGCTGCAAGGCCAATGCCCTCACAGTGGCAAAGAAATTATTGGAAAATGTGTTTCCCACTTGGGGTTTACCTTCCACAATTCCTAGTGTTTGAGGCACCCACTTCACTGAGAAAATCATACAAGCCTTGATGGAAAGCCTTGCAAACTTCCTGGAATTATCACTGACCCTATCACCCTTAATCATCAGGCAAGGTCACAAGAACTAATGGAAAAACTGGATTCATAAAACTGTTAACAAAAAGATTAAGATGAACAAGAATTAATAACATGGGGCTGAATGAACTGATGAGAGTGATTATAATTTTTATGATTTTTTGTTTGAAATATAACTGGTTCTTTAATCTTCTGTTTTCCAGATACAAGGAAACCTTTTCTCTTAAGCTACCTATGACTTGAGCAATTTGACATACTGTACTTTGTAAGCAGAACTGAAACATTTATCTTTTTCTCCCTACTTAATACCTCCAGAATTCAGAAACTGTGAGTCTTCATCTTTTTATGGTGATGTTGTTATTCATGTAAGTTCAATAAGAATCTGTTCTCCTTGTAAGAGGACATAATTGGAAAGTGGTTATATTACCAAGGCTTTGACTGAAATGTCATATTTGAAAAAGACATGCAAAAGGTATGACCAGACAGCTTTAAGGAACTACAGCTGTCTTGTGGAAACCAAAAAAACCCTTGGAAATATCAACCTGGTACCTTGCTTACAAGATTCCCAGCAGCCTTGCCAGGTGAGTAAAGCAGGTCAGTTCCTGGTAGGAGCAGGAATCTTAAGATATTTGGGGGATATTGAGAAGAAAAGAACTCATCCAACTCTGTAGGTATTGCAGGCAGAGTAAATCTTTGCCCTGGCTTTTCTGGCCTCAAGAGACCTTTCAAAATTTAATTTGAAGAGTCCTTGTGGAAATTCCAGCAAAGCAGATTTAATAGAGCTTATAAGGTTAATTATTACTTATGCTGCTCCTATGTAAATAGAAGGCTAAGTTTATTGAAATTAGACCTATTTTGAGCCATCTGCATTATTGACTCCTGAAATGAGAGGCAACTGTTTAATTGAACTGACCTATTCTCAAGACTGAGCTGGTTTCCAAAACTGATATATAACAGTAATATCTTATTTGGTCCTTTCCTTGTGTATCAGTCTAAAAAGTAACACAACTATTGAGCAGACTATAAATTCATATGTAGCAAGTATGTTCCTAATCCATATCCCCCCTCCAAGGGACAAGATAAACCCAAGGAAGCCATTACCACCTTAACATCAAGTGACTTTAAAATCTTGTTTGATCTATGATGTTTCCTGAGAGAAAATTCATGATCAAAATGCGGAAAATGAAGAATAGAGTGAAGAAATAAAAGGGAGTACTACAGTCAAATTGCTAAATTACTAAAATCAAGTAGGCTGAGGTATGAGAAAACAATTGTATTCTAGTTCTCACTAGCCTGGGAACTTTAACGTTTTTGAATTTTCCAGTCCTGCATCATGCCTGGATATATATCACACTTCCAGATAACCCTCTGATTATCCCCTGAAAGACTAAGGAAAGAATGTTCATGTACCGAGACCATTTGATGTCCATCATCTAGACCACCATTTATAATCACCATTATAAATGGAAATCCTTTATATGACTATAAAAGATTACCACTTTGCACCAATCCAGAGGCTAAGATTGCAGGACTAATTCTTCTCAAGAATGTACTTTTTAGTATAAGAACCTCAGCTTTTCTTTCTTCTTTGGAAAACTCTGGCTATTGCTTAGTTGTTGTTTCCAGTTTGTAAACCCTAAGACCTTTGAATAAATATCAATTATTTCTAGCAAAGCCTCCAGACTCTGAGTTGGTTTGACAAGTGTGATCCAGGATTTATTTGCAAGTCACTTATTCTCTAAATCCCATTCGCTTGTAGATATTCAGGCTAGCTAGGGAAAGAAGGAAGACCAGGAAAGGAATACAAGAGAAAGAAAGGATCCAAGAGCTGAAAATTACCCTGAGAATGGAGAACAAGTATGATAGCCTGACGGTGTGAGAACCAGAAGAAAGGGTTGTTGCTGTGTACCGAGAATGAGTTACCTGATTGAAAAGCTCGGGTGAAACATAAACACATATGGAACAGTTCAGTATAAGAAGTGTCACATGGTTAACTGCCAATAAATGACATAATAAAAAATTAATGTTATCAAAACTTGGGGGAGAAATATCATTAGGTCATATATGGGTACTGACCACACTCATATATCAATTAAGATATGCCTCTAAAACTTCCCTTTAGTAACCTTTGTTAGAGGATCTAATTGGATAGGAATGAATTCTCTTGGCCATTCTTTCTAGGGTATTTAGTTATTGACGAACTTAAAGGGCTTCACTGTTGAAGGATTTATCTATTAAGTAAAAAGAAACGTTATGAAAAGAATAAGAGAAAACAATTTGAAGTTAAAATATGATTCGAAAAATTTCAACTTTTGCACAAAAATTCACTTCATCCTTCAATTTCTTCCTTCCTTTAAAATGTATTCACAAAAAAAATCAGCTCTACAAGACAGAACCAGTTTGGAACATAGTCCAAGAAATTTACCACTAACCAGAGACACGTATGTGTTTCAGTCCTAGGGAAACTGGGCCTTGCTAACTTTCTTCCTGAATCTCTTGGTTCTTTGCATTGAAGAGTATGTGGTAATTTCTCCCTTTGCTAAACTTTCTTGCTTTTACAGTTTCTCCTACCTGTATGTTAAGGACCTTGTCCACACCATTGCTATTCTAGGCTATATATTCTAGTCTACATGGCATTAATCGACCTTCAGCTATGACTAGTTTAAAGGATCAACACATTTACCCAACCACATATTTTAGACCATTTGGGGTTTTTCCAGTCCATTTTAATCTATTTAAACCCAACGCTGGCAGATTTCAATTTCCTTTGTCTCTCGTGTAGACTTGGTTTATGCCTGGTGATCTCTAAAAGGGATAAAGAGGTGGCAGCTGTTGAAAAAAAAAATGAGATCGGCAGTTTCAACCACACAGTTTGGTAGCTTTGATGTCCTAAACTTGCTAGCTCCTCCCCCTGTAGCACTCTGATTTTGCATCACAACACCACACTGAATCCCAAAGTAAACTGGGTAGTTTTTTAAATTAAAAAGAAAAAAATGCAAACCAGTGATACCGTTGCTTTAAATCCTCAAAGATTCATTCTGCGAACTGCAGGCCTTTACAAATCTGCGTACACTAGAAACCTTTAAAACAAAAACGGAGAATACTGATTGTGTTCTAAAAAGCGAAAACAGGTGATGTCATAATGCACAGTGCTCCGTGGTCACAGCCAAGGCCCGGCCGGGAGTTGGGCTCCAGTGAGCACGGAGCTCTGCGTCAGTGGATGAAGCAAGTCATCTACGGGGCCCGCAGAACACCGGTGAGGACCAAGCACCAATCAGGCTCTCTCCCGGCGCCTGCCTTTGTTCTCACTGGGGAGCTCGTTTCCCGACGTCCCGCGTCAGGAACCCGCATTCGACCCGCACGTGCGTTGCTGGCCCCCTAAGGAGAAAAGGCACCACTTCCCGGCCTTGTCTCCTTCCCATTTCTTTCAGCCAGAGCTTTCCCCAGTTACATCTGCCTTCTCTCTCTAAAGCGTGAACGCAAAAATCCTGACTCACCATTTTTTAGCTTTGGAGAGGCCAGTCCAGCCCAATAGTTTTAAAAGGCAATTTGTTCTCTGAACATTCCTTTTCAAGCAGCGCTGTACATTCTGCGTGTATCTGACCAGCTGCCTCAGGAAGGACTTTTGGGTGAGAAAACAAACCTGCCTCTTTGGCCCTTTAGTACTACTCAAATAAAGGAACTTGCATTACTGAGAGGACTGTGAAAAGGGCTTCAGATAAGAAACCACGACACCAGAGGTTTTGTGTCTTTCCCCCCCCTGATTAATGGTGTAAATATGCCTCAAACGTCTCCTGCTCTCAGCCCAAACCTCAGGTGATTGGTTTTTGCAATACGAAGCCCAGGATAAATGATGCGTAAAGTTCTTAGAGTTCCCTGGACGCAAAGCCCTACGTGACTGCAGTCTTCTTTACAGCTAAGCTAACATACAGGCTGAGAGAAACACTAACCACTGATGTGATGGTATGAACATTTTAGTTCCCCACCCCCAGCCTCCCTGCCACTTTCCCAACCTTCTCAAGAAGTCAGGAGCTTCAGTTTTAGATCCACCAGCGAGCTCTAGCTCCCAGCTATTAATCTCACTCTCACCATTTCTGCAGGGACCTACAGAGGGGAAGTGGCTTGCCTTCGGGAAGGGCTAAGCTTCCCTGTAATTTGCATACGACACACCCTCTTTCTCCTATTGGCGGAGCAGCACAAACTGTATTCCCTCCCATCCTACTACCTAACTAACCCGCCATCTCCTTTTAGTTCAGAACCTCCAAGATAAACTTAACTTGCCCGGAGATTCAAGGCATCCTATGCCTCTGTGATTGGTCGGCGCAGCTCCCAACCTAGCTCTAGTTGCTCATTGGTAGCGAGCTACCGCCCCGGGGGCGTGGCCGGAGCTGTCCGATTGGCGGGAGGGGGCGGTACTGAGTGTGGAGGTGGTGAAGGTGGTGGGGCGGCGGGGGCGGGGCCGCACTGAGGCGCTGCAGCGGCGGCGGAGGCAGCGGTGGCGGCTGCTCGTCCTAGCCAGGCGGGGGCGGGGGTCTGGAGGATGGAGGCGGGTAGAACAACGGGACGGTGAGGAGCAGCCGCCGCCGTCTCCGCCGTCGCTTCGGCAGCCGCCGCGGTAGTAGCCTAGGACAGCGCCGCTTGCTCTCAGGTCATCGTCTCCTATCCCGATATCCCGCCGGTGGAGGCTGAGTCTGAAGCGCTACCGGTGGTGCGGGATCCGTCCGGCTCCGCAGCGGCGCGAGCGGCCTCAGTGACAGCCCGGTCCCGGCCCGCCGCCCGCCCTCGGTGCCCGCAGCCACGATGAACCGGGGCGGCAGCAGCCCATCGGCCGCCGCCAACTACCTGCTCTGTACCAACTGCCGGAAAGTGTTGCGGAAGGTACGGGCTCGGCCTGAGGTCCGGCTAGAGAGGGGCGCTTCCTACCTTCCAGGTCTGGGGGTGCTCGGCCCCCGGGCACACCTTTGGGCGAGGTTCAAAGGGATCTCGGGGCACCTTCCCAACGCCGAGACCGAAAAAGGGGGCGTGGGTTGAGGGTGAAGGGTTAAACGGCTGCTGCTGCTTTTATCTCTGCGGGGACAGACGCTCGTCCGGAGGGGTTGGGGATTTATTTGTTGTAAGGGAGGAGCGCGGGACCTGTTCGACCCCTTTTTTGGTGCTGTTGGTGGAGGTTGGTGCGAAATCAGAACAGCCTGGGGCTGGTCTCGAGGAACCTGGCTCCCTTTTCCCTGTGCCTATCTCTTGAGGGTGTTTTTGTTTACTTGGTTGCTTCTGCCTTCCTTGTGTGCTTTCTCCTAACACCCCCTTTTTGCATTCTTTTGGTGGTCGTCTTATGTCTACAGCTCAGTCATGGAAGGTACTGGTAAAGTAGCTTGAACTTTAAGCCCATGGGGAAATGCAATTCGACCTTACAGTTCCTCGGACGTGAGTTATCCCTTTTTAGTAACCCCTGCCCTCCGCCCCGTTTGTCCAAAAAAATCAGACGCACCATTAGCTTATTGCTTCCTAGAGTGACTGATAGAAAGTTTACTCCAGTATTGGTTAACTTAACTTGGCTTAATCGTTCCGCTAACGGGGGGGTGCGGAGGGGGCAGGGGGGGATGTCGCTTTAGACTGAGAAAAGCTTTTAATCAGACTTTAACACTGGGCTCTGGACAATATTATAATCAAATTATTCTTTTCCAAACTATTTTACATTTCATTAAGTGGAAACATTAGTTGAGGCGCTTCTGTTTGTCCAGTACAAATGAATTAAAATTGCTGAGCTATGCAAATGCGTTAGGACTGAAAGACTGAGATGAATAGGGCACCGTTTTTTTAGTCAAATTCTCTAAATACAATTCAGCTGGGATTGTTCTTTATTTATTAAGAAAGAAAGCAAGCATCTAAGTAAGCAAGCTCAAATATTTGCGCTCTTTGTCCAAAAACTGTTTTTCTTCCTCTGTGGGTCAGGCCAAGTGCCAATCAAAGTTGTTTTTCAAACCTCTTTTCCCTGCAGTAGGGCTGCTGCTTTTTTTTCCTTTCCTATTTTATTCGAGAGCATGAAGAAAGAAAAGGGATTGCAGATCTGATGTTAATCTTTGATTAACATCAAATTATATATGCCTTAAATTGTGCTTATTTAGTATGTTTTTCTTGAAACATTGGTATTAAATGTTCATGTTGAGTATGTGCAGTTATTTTTTTCCATAAACTCCGGAATCAAATTACAGCTGATACTTGTTCAGCCCATTGTAGAGCAGCTTGTGAGAAGTGTAATGGATCAGAAGTGCAGATCAGCTAGTCGAATGTTAACTCTTTCATTTCAGGGCCAGAGGCATCTGAAATAAGCTTTTTAAAGAATGGATTATTCCCTAACTTAAACAGTGATAGGTTGTGTCTTTACCATGAAAAAAAGTGTTGTTTGTTACACATTTGTTTTAACCGAAGCCTGATTAAAATAACAGCTAGTTATTTCTTTTAACTGAATCGGGGAAAAAGAACTATATTGATTCTGACTTTTGTTTAAGTGACTGGCATATTGGTAGGCTAATAAAATGTTTGGAGGTGCTATAGACTTTAGAATCTATTTTATTTTATTTTTATTTTGAGAGAACCATGTTTATGGATCCATCATACTCTGCTAGCATTCTTTATATTTTTGTCTTGGCTTTTAAGAATCTATATTTACTCAGAAAAAAATCTTCATTTCTAAGCATTATTAATGAAGAAGTATATGGAAAATGGATATTTATCATTTTCACATTTTGTAATTGCTGTTCATACCTCTGCCAATATTCCAGTTTTTAGTAACTCCAAGGGGTATTTAATATTGATTCATGCAGTAGCATGAAATAGCTGTAGATGGAAATGAGATTGTTTGAGCCAGTTATGACATGACTTGGCAACATTTGTAGCTTGTGAAAGAGTACTAGTCTTAAATGCTCTTAAAAGATATCAAGTGTTTAGCATTTTAAATTCTTCATCCTAAAAATAGCATGTAAGAATTTATTTCTAATAAGAGATGGTTTTCTTACTGCTAAAAAGTATATAATTCTAAGTAAAATTTATCTACAGCTTTCTAAATGTGATTCTCTGGATTTATCCTGTTTTCCACTTACAACTAAGTGAGTCATAGCATTTAAAATTTTTGTTCAGTGTAGTTAATAATGGAAGAATGAAACTCATGCACACCCAGTGTGAATTACTCTTTGCTGTTCTAATCCTCATTAATGATGAGGGAAGGTCCACCTTTATATGTGGCATGATGCCTTTTTCTCTCAGTGGCTTAATTTGTTACAATGTGTTGAATTTGGGGAGGGTAGGGGAGAGTGTATGGATCTTCAAGAAGAAATGGATTCACCTTTACATGAAATAATTTAGTTTAACCCAGTATCTAAAAATAGAATTTTATATTGTAAGAGAGTCACGCTTGCTCTTAGAAGTTTCTTTATAATTTTGATTCAGTGTCCTACAAAGTAAAGTGTTTCTTCAGATATGGAATATACCTAATTTGGTAATTTTAGGTCAGTAAAAAGAATGGAGAAGTAAACCACAGAGGAAAACAAACAAAACTGTCCACAAATGTAACTCCTACTATGCCTAACTTGTTCTATTATCAATGAAATAATGCAATAAAGTTTCTAATAAAAGAGGGAATGCCTGTATTTATTTTGGAGAAGTTAATGAGCTTGGAAGTGTAATATATTTTACTTGAAGAAATTCCAGGGACAACTAGATAAATTTTAAAGTGGAGTGCCAAACTGCATTAAGAAAGGTAGGTAACTGTCAATCCACTCATTTTCCAACAAATAAAAGGTAGCACATTACAATGGACTTTTATTAAGTAGTTGATGCTTTAGGGTGAATAAAATTCTGCACTATAGAGAATTTAACACTTAAAAATTCTAACTACATTTAGTAGTTTCAGTGGCATATATTTGTTGGTTGTTGTACTTTTCCCTATTGGGAAAAGTACATTATCCCATATATACTCACTTATTTTGACAACTTTTGATGGTTTTGTAAGTGAAGAGACTGAAAGTAAAATGGAAAATATTGGATTAAACTGTATGAACCTCATTTTCTAGTCAAAGTTGTCAGTTAATAGCAATTCACTATGGTTCAGCCAACAGAATGGAATTGCTTTGACTGTGGCCGTATTCTGCCTTATCTAATCAGGTTTCTTACATACATAATTTTGATTGTCAAAAGCAGTTTTTTACTTCATTTTATTTAAGTGAACTAAGCAGAGATTAAGCAGTGAATTTATGATAGTAACTTACTCTACAGTGGTTTTCAAACAGCTTTTTGTGGGCCCCTAAAATGCTGGTGTTAAAAAATGCTTGAGTTGGATTAAATTTTTAAGTTGGATCCAATTTTAACATTGTTTAAAAAGTTATCTTTGGTTGTAAGATTTTTGTACAGGATTTGAAGTAAACCTTCTACCTTTGTTAGATATATTTGAAGGTTTTTGTTAACACGACTTTTTAAAAAGTTTTATTCTTAGAGGGAAAGGGTGGGAGACAGGAGAGAAACATCAATGTGTGGTTGCCTCTCCTGCGCCCCCTACTGGGGACCTGGCCTGCAACCCAGGTATGTGCCTTGACTGGGAATTGAACCAACGACCCTTTGGTTCACAGGCTGACGCTTAGTCCACTGAGCCATACCAGCCGGGGCAATATGACATTTTTGAGAAAAATTGTTATTGATTATGAAAGCAGTGGCCTTTAATTAAAATTTTGTTTGTGTATATATCTACTTATGTTAATTTTTTACATTTGAGAACACAAACTGTTAACAGTAGTTACTTTGTGACAAAGACCGATAAATATAATTTAATTGTTTTGTATGTTTCAGTGCTTCATATTTCAGGTTCAGTATAAGATTTCATTTGTAAAAGGGGTCTTGCTACTCTTCCACGGGCACCTCCCCTCACCCAAATAAATTGCTAAAACTTAACTGCTAATGTAGTGATTCTGGGATCCACAAAATGTGCTCACAGTTAGGTCTTTGATAGGTCATTTATAAAATTGTGGGCAAGTTAGTTAACCTCCTTGAAACCTAGTTTTCTCTGTCAAATGTAGGTGATTCCCACTGACGTTACAGGTAGCTGCATAGCTTGAGAGAAATAACACATGTTAAAATACTTTGTAAACCATAGAGTACATCTATAAATACAAGAAAAAGACACGCCTATTTATTTTTTCTTTTCCCTCATACCTTACTTTTTTGTGTTGTGGCAATATATTTGAATACATAACTGAATAATTTGGTTATTCTTTATATTTTTGTCCCATTTAATTATTGCCTGTAAATGGGAGGTAAAGATAAGTTAGAATGATGAACATTTAAAAATTTGCATATGTGTATTTGTATCCAGTTGTCCCCCCTCCCCCTGCCGTAAATAGTAATCCAGTGGGTAGCTTTGGTAGCTTTTGATTTTTTAAATAGTAAAATTGCATTTTGGATACTTCAGCAGATCAGGGAAATTGGTACTAGCTTTGAAAAGGCTAAAAGTTAAGGATGATTGTGTTTTTAGAGGTTGGGGGCAAATCTAGGGTAAAGCAAAACAAAATTGATTTTAATTTGGGAGAAGAGTTAATGGAAATAAAAGTTTCTTTTTCTTCCATCTCTTCATCTCTCTCTTTTTTTCCCTTTTGAAGGGATTGGGTTATGTTTGTCTAGATCACCACAATTTTTAGAGTGTATTCACATTATCTCAATTAATTCTCAGAAACTGAAAACATTTAAGTGGCATGGCCTTTGTCATACAACTAGTAAGCTATCTGTTTAATGCTCATTACTGCTTCTACAATAAATAAAGCAGTATTTCAGTTGCCTCCCTCAGTATACAGGTGGTCGGGGAATATCCACATTCCAGCTTCAGCATCTTGGGAATG